CACACACACACACACACACACACTCACACACACACACACACACACTCACACTCACACTCACACACACACACTCACACACACAGACAGACAGACAGACAGACAGACAGAGCGGATAATACGCAGAGCGTCACACCACGTGAAAGTGAATCCTGAGCGGTGAACTCATTTTCGGCATCCGGAATTTCGGTGCATCTCTAATTATTGGCGACATCAGAAATGGATATTATATAATAGCTGCTTTTATGAACATTTTAGTAATTTAAAAATATATATATATATATATGAGTCTGTGCGACTTCATCTATGGCTTTCTCTTCGCTTTCACAAACCAATCCATCTCCCATTCTAAGTTACGTCCTTTGTCTGTTTACGGTTTTATTTCTTTTCTTTTTCTGCTGATGGCCCGCGCTCGACTTGAAGCAGCGCTGCTTAGACCGATCGGTGTGTGTCATCAAAGCACTGCGAGAGCTATAAGAGAGCGCGGACGTCTCCTTATGCTTTCTCTCGCTCGCCGTACTTTGATGACACACCGATCGATCTTCAAGTCGAACACACCTCTTTACTCTCACGTGTGACGTGACCGTGTAATCGCAGCCTCTGCGATTGAAAAACCGCGTTCTCTCATATCGTGATATTATCGCAAAAGCAATTAATCGTTCAGCCCTAAAAAGAACACAAAGAATGGCGTTCTCAGCTGTTATAGTTGCAACTCTTGCGTCATGTGTTCGACACACCACCGTTTCCGTTTAACAAAACGTTTTGCACCATTTTTGGGGGCTGAATGCAGCCCAGCTCTCACGCGAATTCTCTCATCAAACAACAAAGTGTAGATATACGTATGGTGTAAGAGATTAATTCATAAAACCGTGTATAGACAGCTTTACTGATTATAAGGGGAATTTTTTGAGAGTGCTTAAACTCGCGCTAGACTTAAGTCAGTCATAATGTTCTTTCACAGTGTAAGTTCTTTGCTCACATTCTCTGTATTCGCTGTGTAAAATAGCCGTGGAAGGTACAGGGAATAAAAAAATTAATCCATTACCTCATCTGTGAACATCCTCCTTCATAGCGTCATCAAGCTTCACCTTTATTGTTTTGAAAATGCGACCTCTAGTGGGGAAAACTTGCGTATGGTACCTTTAATGCCTTTTTGATTTATTGTTGATTTTGGTAAATCTGCTTTTCCACACAGAAATTCATGTTCAGTGAAGCTCCTCCCACTGCGAGCACATCATCAGTGAAGCTCCTCCCACAACAATCACATCATCATCATCAGTAAAGCTCCTCCCACAGCAATCGCATCATCAGTGAAGCTCCTCCCACAACAATCACACAATCAACAGTTCAGCAATAAATGCTGGAATATCTCCATCAGTTCACAAGTGAAGACGAGCATCTAATCATCAGGAAGAGCTGAAATCTGTAAAGACTGAGTTTATTAAAGAGGACAGAGAGAAGATGAGCGATCCAGAGCCCTGCAGAATCAAACACACTGAAGATACTGAAGAACTAACAGGTTGGTGTTTATTCTTCATTAATTCATTAATAATGCTGACGGTTATGGGTCACGTGACGAGGTCAAGGTGGATAGCAGCGTAGTTTAACAATAATTTTAAGTGGCTAACTCAACAACTTTTGATCTCGAAGAATTAGAGAAGAGCTTTTGCTACAGAAATATGGCTTGTAGGCAGAAAACAGTCCAATCGAGCATAAAAAAGGCTCTGAGAGGCGGCGATGACAGTGCAGCAGCTCCTCCAACTGACGCTGACAAATCCCCGCAAGCTGCCGAGGACATCGCGAGTGTTACATTTTATTATAAATTTTTCAATCAGAGTTTCTTGTTTCTCCCCGAGCTGTTAATGCGAGATTAATGTGCTCCAGGACGAGGGCCCTCATCCTGCGGGGATCCAGAGAGAAGAGGCAGCTGCAGTGGAATGGTGATTCTGTTCTGGTTTATCCAGATTTCTCAAAGATTACACAGGAGCAACGGAATGCCTTTAAGGAGTGCAAGAAAGCCTTACACGATCATCAGATCCAGTTCGCTCTGCTCTTCCCAGCAATGCTCATGATCGAAGTTAAAAGAAGGTCCTAAGCGATTTAACGATCCCAAAATAAAACACTGTGCCCGGCTGCGTAAAGCCCCTTAAGGGCTTTGCAAAAAATATGCCTTAAATGTTACTTAAGGGTTTCTTTAGATGAAACGTCATAAACCCTTAGAATTTCTCTTTAGTATCCCTTAAAACCCATTAAGTGTTGCAAATTCTAAGGGTTTATGATGTTTCACCTAAAGAAACCCTTAAGTGACATTTAAGGCATATTTTATGCAACGCCCTGAAGTGTAAAGGAAACTTAAGGGCGATCTTAAGGGGAAATTACACTTAAGGGGCTTTATGCAACACTTAATAGGTTTTAAGGGATACTTAAAGGTACAATAGGAGATCTTAGAAAATGCTAACTTTAGCCTGGTAGCACTGAAAGCGAACGTCCCACCCTCCCCTGCAATCGCCGTCCAAAGCCACGCCCCATGAACGCATATACACTCACAGACCAGAGACAACATTACTACAATAGGCTACATCAGGTTCTCAATTCCAGCCCATGTTCTGAAGTGAAGTAAACTTCAACGGATTTCCCCCGCTCAGGGAGTAGGGAGCAATGAACACTGTGTAGGGATCATATCGATCGGAACACAGTTCATGCACGTAGCTCACTTCTAACGAGCTGGCGCGAGGACTGGATTAACCGCTGGGCTACATCATGTGTCATTCACCGGTGAGAAATCTTTAAAAGTACTACAATACCAGGAAGAAAGATCGGGTTGTTGATGTTTGCCTGCCATCCTCGCTCTGTCTGCACAGAGTGTGTGAACGCGCTGATAACGTATCCTGTCTGCGCGAACTGGGTGCGCAGAGGTATGCAGATACATATGTTGACAGGCAGGTAGGAAAGCCAATTAAAACGCTCGGACCAAGCGTTTTGATTGGACGAACATTTCTTGATCCTACGCCTTCCACAGAATATATAAATACAGATAAATACATTTAGACCACTTAACTTAATGATTGCTATCGGGATGTGAAGAGACTTTCAACCAGCATAACAACAAATGTTTCTGAAGACAATCACCATTTGCACCTTCAAGAGAATATCTAAGGGTTTATGACGTTTCACCTAAAGAAACCATTAAGTAACACTTAAGTATCGCTTAAAACTTATTAATTGTTGCATAAAGCCCCTTATCTGTAATTTTCCTATGGATAACATAAGGGTTGGAAAATGTCATCTTAAGTGTTACACAAAAGTCTTCAAGACATGATCGGCCGCTTTATATGTTAAACAGATTTTAATTTATTCACATATAAACATTGATCAAATTATACAGCACACAATTAGCTCAAACGTGAGTGCATCACACTCGAGAGCAAATGTATATTCTATAATATCTTATTCCTGTATTTTGTACCTGGAGATGACTTGAAAAACACATTCAGCAGAGTTTATTGAGTTTGTGTTTACGTTTCTGCTTTTTATACAGCTTAGAAGATAGGCTACTTCAATTAATCCGTTTTGGACTTTAGGCGCAAGAGCGCCCTCTGGCTTCCAGTATGAATGAAACATACGCTGCGTGAGAGTTTAGCGCTTTAAAGCCCCTTTTTAAGGGGTAAGCGATTTCTGGTAGCCAAAATGTTGATATTTCGAATCACCAAAACAAACACACCCCTCCCCCAAAAGGGTCTCGGCCCTATTTTGATAGCTCTGCCCCACACATACGTACGCAACCCAGGCAACGTTTAGTTCTGTGAAACAAAGCAAAACCAATGTTACACCGTGTCTACACTGGACACGAGTGGCGCGTCGCGACAAAATACTATAGAACTCATTATAATCAGTGATGCTGTCTACATCATAGATATTTATGCATATGTTAAATGTTTTTTTTGTGAAAACTTACTCCGCTATCTGCCTTATCGTGAAACACTGAACGGTTTCCCTTTGCTAAGGGCAGTGTTTAAGGGATTATATGCAACACCCTTAAATTATTCCCATAGGTAAGGGGAAATCACGCCTTAAGTCTCATACTTAAAGGGTTAGTTCACCCAAAATTGAAAATTCTGTCATTAATTACTCACCCTCATGTCGTTCCAAACCCGTAAGACCTCCGTTCATCTTCGGAACACAAATTAAGATATTTCTGATGCATTCTGAGAGCTCTCTGACTCTTCATAGACAGCAATGCTATTACCACGATCAAGCTGCAGAAACATAGCAAGGAGATCGGTAAAATAATCCATGTGACATCAGGGGCTCAACCGTAATTTTACCAAGCTACGAGAATACTTTTTGTACGCAGAGAAAACAAAATATATCGTTCATCCCTAATTTTTTTTTGTGTTCTTAATGTTTTTTGTTTGGGGGGGGTGATTGTGTTCATATTGATTTCAGACCATGCACCAGTATATCTGGATCTTATACCATTGGACACTTAAAAAAAAATCATATAGATGGAGGTTCAATTCCACTTGGTTACATCTCCCTGCATTTAAACATTTACTCCAAGACCAAACTGATTTGTATTTATCTACTAATGTAAATTCAGCTCCATCAGCAGGGGTGGCATGGGAAGCGCTAAAAGCATATGTTAGAGGTGTTTTCTCTTTATTATGGCAGGTGGTCCAATAAATACTTAAGCACTGACTTTGTTTTCATAGCATTCAGTTGGCACGTTTGTTTGAAGGATATTGGGCAGAATGTGGAATAGTGTGTTTTTTTGTCAGTAAAATAAAAAAAGATATCCGATTAATCGGGAAAAAATAATCGACCAACTAATCGATTATCGAACCATGTGACATCAGGGGCTCAACCGTAATTTTACCAAGCTACGAGAATACTTTTTGTATGCAGAGAAACCAAAATATATCGTGCATCCCTAATTTTTTTTTGTGTTCTTAATGTTTTTTGTTTGGGGGGTGATTGTGTTCATATTGATTTCAGACCATGCACCAGTATATCTGGATCTTATACCATTGGACACTTAAAAAAAAATCATATAGATGGAGGTTCAATTCCACTTTGTTACATCTCCCTGCATTTAAACATTTACTCCAAGACCAAACTTGGATAATTGGCCAACTAATCGATTATCAAAATAACCGTTAGTTGCAGCCCTATATTATACAGTACGCCTCAGCTTAGGGCGATTTTGCGAAAAATTTAAATCTCGATTTTTCTAGAACGTTTGACCGATTCTCGACTTTTTACGATTTTTAACTAGCCAACTTAAAAATGTAACTACAACATGTTTCAAGTTACTTTTTCTTTATTAACCCTCTAGTTAAAGACAATTCTATTCCAAGTGCAGCGCACATGAAGTTGTCAACATGATGTAAACGTTAAACACATCACTTGTTAAATATCTTTGCAGAAAAGATGCATAAACTACAACTACATATTGTACAAACGTGTCTTATACATATTATGTGTTCAGAAATAATACGAGGAAAATGCTTTTTAAAAAATGTCAAAAGTCACAGTAGTTCAAAATGACTGAAGGTATAACACTAGTAGACTATTATTAACTATAAATGTTCTTTAAAAACAACAGCTGCTTTCAGCCTGTCACCATGATGCAAACATGAAATATCAGACATAGAGTAGTAGTTCTTACATGTTTTTTATTCGATTAATTTAAAACGGAGAATGAACCAATATAAACTTAGACTTTAAGTACAGCTAAAGTATCATTATAATAATATTCTTACTCAAAAATTTGAATTTGACCTCTTCAGAATTAGACAAAAATCCTTTGAATCTGGAGATAAAACGGGGAACATGTTGGCAAGATACATTAAACGTAGGGAATCCTCTGCCTCAATATGTGCTATTCAAACCCCTGGGAGAGGCCTTGTAACCAAGGTCATGGACATTAATGCCCCATGTAAGGATTTGTACACTTCGTGCAGTAGCTCTTCTGAGAAAGAAATAAAAAACTTCCTCGGTGGACTTAATACTCCGTCTCTCAGTGAGAATCAGCGGGAGCTTTTGGATTCTCCCATAATGGAGGATGATATTTTTAGAAGTGATCAAGAATTTGACAACAGGAAAGGCTCCAGAACCAGACGGGTTCACTGCTGAATTTTTATATAAGTAGTAAATGATAAAAAATAAACAATAAATGACTAATGATTATAAATTATTATAAATTAATAAAAACATAACACAAATGTACGGTCGCTCTCTTAATGCAACACACAGTTTGTATTTGAGGATCCTCAGATCCTTCATGTTGTTGATCAAACATATTTAATAGTTCTCCCTATAGAAACATGAGGTTTGTGCCTATAATAGTTTAAAAGTAATCATTTGAAGATCAGTGTATCTCATTCATGGAAAGATTCAGGGATGTATAAGATATAAAATTGCATCAAAATGACCAAAATTTTGTAATGCATGTGTCTACTTTCTGCTGTTATATCAGGGTTCATCTTTATGCCCTTTCACTTTTTTTAAGGAGTTTAATGAAAATGTACTGTTTTTACTTTTGTTTCAGAGTTGATTGAAGATAATGAGGAGAAAAAAGAATTGAGTGAATCTGAGGAGAAAAACCATGTCAGAAGTGTAGAAAACCCCAAACAGAAAGATTTAAAGAGAAGAAGAGCCAAGAAATCTTTCACCTGCACTCAGTGTGGAAAGAGTTTCACATACAAACATATTCTTGAGCTTCACATGAGAGTTCACACTGGAGAGAAACTGTTCACTTGTGATCAGTGTGGAAAGAGTTTCACACGCAAACGTCATCTTGATGTTCACATGAGAGTTCATACTGGAGAGAAACCGTTCTCTTGTGATCAGTGCGGGAAGAGCTTCTCACAATCATCAAACCTCAAAGATCACATGAACATCCACACTGGAGAGAAACCGTACACTTGTGATCAGTGCGGGAAGAGTTTCACACAATCATCACACCTTAAGAAACACATGAGCATCCACACTGGAGAGAAACCGTACACATGTGATCAGTGCAGCAAAACATTTTTCTGTGCTTCAGAACTGTTGAGAGCTTCAGAACTGAAGGAACACCTGAGAGTTCATACAAAGGAGAAGCCGCATTCATGTCATTTGAGTGGAAAGAGTTTTTCATTACTACAAAGTTTGAAAATACCAAAACCATTCATACTGCTGTGACAGAGTACATGTGCTTTGGGTGCGAGAAGACATTTGAAACGGCATGAGAGGATTCACAGTGGAGAGAAAACGTACCACTAGGTTTGGGTACCAATATGGCACCGGTACCTATGTAACCGGTATGTACTAGAACCGAATTAGAATGCAAATTTTGGTGCCTCATGAGTGATCGATTGAAATATTTGTCCACTGGTTCTCTGAAACAGATGTAAGAAGCATCATCACTGTGAAAAATTATTTCCCGACTGAGAAAATGCACGTGAACGCAAGTCGGAAAGCCGTGATAATACAAATCCAACACATCTTTGTTGTAATGCGAGTGTCCGTGTTGTTTTCACATTCCGATTTAAAAGCACAGCTCGGGAAATGAGAGCATCCGAGGAACGCGTGAATGCAGTAATTACACTTGCTCTGACAGCAGAAGGTAGCCTCTCATTAGCTAGCTAAGCTAAACACGCTTAAATTAAAATGCCTAAAGCTAAACTTCCCTTGTAATGACGTTTCTAAACCTGTTGTCCAACAAAAGAGAACATTATAACCTGTTTACTCCAACACCAGTCAAATGCTTCCTTTTGTGATCTGCTATGGCTTCTTGTCACAAAATGAGGCAGAAAATATGTTCTATACTGTAAAAAAGTCGATTAGCAGTGCATTATAAATATACAAAATTATGAAAATACAAGCGATGGCTTAAATAACACAGATAAACTATACATTGTCGCAGTCGAGTGTTTATTGTCTTTGTTTTAGAATTTAAAACGTTTATATCTTCTGTTTACTCGGTTACAGCGATAGCGATGCCTTTGTCCATATTAGGGATTTCCGGGAACGTCATGAGTTCTGTTGCTTCTTTGCTTTCAGTATCTGGTGTGACCCCATTTTTCAGCAATAAC